CAGCTTTTACGCCCACTTCCTCTCTGTCAGTAATTAGATCTGTGGTTAGATTGAGTTAGCAGCAAACCAAAGTGTGTCGTCGTTAGAGCACTTGGAAAACACTGAGCGTTGCTTTTGTTTTTATGCTTTCTGTGGGCTCAGAGAACCAGCTGTGGGCAGACGACCAATCTAAAGTCACCACACCAGGAAGTGAAGCTGAATTAAAGGATTGTTCCTATTTCATTTTGCTCATGAAAGAGATACGGCTCACAAATGCAGCATTGTTACAAATGTCAGCATTAATTACAGCTCAGTCTGGCAATTAACATTAGTGGTGCCACACAAAGAGGCTTAAGCAACATGAACACCACCACATGACGACCTGCAGTCCTGGTGTAACCTTTTATCTTTGGCTCTGTTCCTGTTTAGCTCTGGGAAATCATCACTAATTGAAGGTTTTTCATGTAGGAGATAAAAACATGTGATTACTGAAGCAGGGGACAACCTTAAAGCAGCAACCCTGAAACACACAAACCAAGCATTTGGAGAAAAGCCTGCTGGGAATACCAAAGACCACCGTTTGGTACTGTTGTGTTTTTGCCTCCAGCTTTTCTCCACATTCAGACTGATGGATCTTGTAGAGTGGGGTCATGGGAGTTTGGTTTTACAGTCCGTAGATCAGCTAAAAGCTGCAGCAGCTCAAGAGGTAGAGCGGGTTGTCCAGTAATCGGAGGGTTGTGGGATCGATTCTGGCAGAAAATGCTGCTGTTGTGTCTTTGAGCAAGACAGTTAACCCACCCTGCCTGCTGGTGGTGGTCGGAGGGATTGGTGTGCTCAGCAGCCTCGCCTCTGTCAGTGTGCCGCAGGGCAGCTGTGGCTACATTGTAGCTCATTAGGATGTGAATGTGTGTGTGTGTGGATGGAAGAATGATACACTGTAGTGTAAAGCACTCTAAAAGGTGCTATACAAGTACCGGCCATTTGTCATCCTGTGGTCTTTTGTTGGCATTAATGTGGGATGATGGGGTACCGGGGTCACTTCCTAAGGAAATCTGGGAATTGTGCAGCTAAAGCAAACATGTCTATAGGCTCTTACAGCTATTCCCGCTGCAGGCTGGGCTCATGGTGGCCCCTGTGCACCCACTGGATCTGTTCATGAGCAGGATCTACAGGTGTAGTCATGAAGAGCAGGGTGAGTGGTGGTTGGATGACCCAGGGACAAGAGCTTCCTCTCCCATGACTCAAAGAGCATCCTGGAGACAAGTGGCTCATCTTTAAGGTGTTTCAGCTCAGCCATGGAGATAAGTCGAGCGCTCCATTCATAAGGAACTCCGGGTAGGACTGCTTCTCCTTCTCATCAGAAGGAGCCAGCTGAGGTGGTATGAACACGGTTGGGTTCCTGAGGAGGAGGTGGACAGAGGGACAGGGATGTCTGGGTTGTCTCCTGGACCTGACTCCTCTGATGCCTAATCTGTAGTTGTGTTGGTGATGCATAAAACTTGAATCATTCACCTTGTGGTTACGATTTTAACACTTACAGGTTTAAACTCTTTCCTCAAATCATTCTGGTTTATGATCATCACCTTGTTTTATATGTGTTAGTGACACATCGAACTCAACCCGTTCATTACAACTACTCAGACGTGCACCCTGAAAGGCCTGATTGGTGCTTTACACGAGTCTTAGATAGGAAACCGTTGTCGTGCGAGGCTTCTGTTGCGTGGAAACGGCAGATTTCAAAACTGTGTTATCTCTGATCCACGAGACGGATTAAATCCGAAGCTCAGGCCTAATCCCTGCATGCACAATTCATCCACACAAACAGCAGAATGTTTAGTAAAAGATGATCTGAAACATCACTGATGCAGAAGCATTTTGAGTCACTTTCTACATTATAGAGACATGCTATTAAGCTATAAGCATTAATCACACTTGATGTCAGCAGAGGCATTTTCTGCAGTGACATCACTCGGGCTATCGGTTTATCCAACACACGTTTAGCCTGTTTCCATGTGCGTTCACAGTCCCTGATTGTTAATCTGAGCTAATAATCATTTATAAACATCATCCCCCCGTCCTCTTTGTCTGAATTATTTCATTCAAACAATATTTTCTTCTTCCAGTCCAACAGTTCAAAAGACAGATCTACAGGTTTTGACGACACCTGTGTCTAGCAGTGTAGAGACAAATGTTGTACCCATAATCGTTGACTACCGTGAACAACAAATGGTCCAGCTTTTAAAAATCAGACTGTATTAATAAACAACTGTTCCGAATGAGAGAGTCGTGGCTAAATTTGTGCTACCCAAGAGGCAAAAACATTTTTAATGAGAAAGAACATCTGTGTCCTTTGTTTCCTACTGGGAGCTACATGACAAGAGCAACACATAAAAGTAGCTTTGTTCCCACACACTAAATTTGAAGCACAGAAGCAGCATTTCTCAAAACAACCCAATTAAACCTATGAAGACACATTTGTGCACTTCCAAAGTGTAAAACAGTTTTAGGATTAACTCAGATTAGTTTGAATGTTTTTGAGACTTCTGAGTTTATTCATCAGCAAAGTTTAGAGTCGACCTTGAAAAAAAAACAGGGAAACACGGATGCCTCTACCGCTCTAAAAGCAGATAACGATCACGGGCAGACGTCACAGTTCCTGTTTGATATTCCTTCCCTCCCAGAGGTAGAGAGAAGACGGTGAGAAACAGAAATGCAGGAATAAAATGAGATTTGAGGAGAGAAAAAGCAATAATCACGAGGGTGAAAAATGAGCGATCTGGAATTGAAGTGAGTGGGGAAAGTGTTTTGAGCTCTACCATCAGAACTTAAACGCATTAGCATTCAGCACTTTTTGTTTGAAGACCACAGGGCACGTATGCCAGCTAATTAGCCTGCAGCTAACTGATAAGCAAAGGTGTGTTTCTCCATGTTTTGTAGGAGTCATTCCAGAGTTTGGTTTGTTAACAGGTCAGTTCCTGCAAATTACAAGCTCATTTCACTCTTTTTACATTTTTATTTTGCACATTTTAAGATTTCTTCCCTCTTAGGATGGAGATTTGCATCAGCTAATGCAGCGGATGTAACTGGGTTACAGAACGTAGAGCTTAGTTTTCACATTTACTGTCACTGCTATAAAAATATAAATATGAGTGTTTGTCCCTCAGAGAGACCCAGGTTGTTCAGCTGTTATTTGTGGACAATTAAAACTTCCAGTTGTTAATGTCTGAGTCCCAAAACATTCAGAATTAAGTTAAATTACCACAATAGTTTAGGATTTATACTAGTGGAAAGCTTGATTAACTTTTATTGATCCCATGAACACCTGCAGGAGTTGGTAACCCCCCAGGGTTGTCCCATCTCTCCCGAGTTGGCATTACTATATTTTTACAGTTGTGAACACCTTGAGCTTATAGTTTTGTTACCAAATCAATAGTTGTTAAACCAGAGTAGATCAGCCCATGGTTAACAGTGGCAAAGACCTTTGTTTATGTTTATTCATGCTTTCATCCATTTTTTCTGCGGGAGAAGGCCAGAGTGCCTGGAGAAGACCCACACATGCATGGGGAGAACATGCAACATCTAGACAAAAAGATCTGAACCTGCAACCTTCGTTCTGCAGGCAGCAGTGCTAACACGACACCTCCATGCAGCCTTTTCTGAAAAGCAGTATCACTGGTGGGCTGAACTAAACAGCTAGAAACCAGCTAGGGTTGAATTGTACACATGCTTAAATTAGTAATTTATTTTCAATTTTACTTGAGTTCTGGAGATCAGCTCAAGATCCTCATCTCAGTTATTCAAATCCCTCCAAAAAAGTTTAAAAAGATTTAAAAAATGATTAAATTATGTTTAAAAGGAGAAAAGGAAAAAATGTAAGGAAAAGGAGAGAGAAAACGAATAGGACAAAGGGAAATCAATGGATCCTGGAAAAGACGGAACAAGAACAGAATAAAGAGAGAGTGGTGACGAAGGTCACACAAAAGCCAGCCTGAACAGGTGAGTCTTCAGCTGCTTTTTAAAGGAGACCACTGAGTCCACTGATCTCAGGCTCAGGGGGAGAGAGTTCCAGAGTCTGGGGGCCACTGCAGCAAATGATCTGTCACCTTTGGTCTTTAGCCTGGTGCTGCACAACCAGTAGGCTTTGGTCACTGGACCTCAGGGACCTGCTGGGGGTGTAGGGACTAAGAAGATCACCAATGTAAGATGGTGCTTGTCCATGTAAGGCCCTATAGACCAGAACCAGGATCTTGAAATGAACCCTGAAGTTGACTGGCAGCCAGTGAAGCTGGAGGAGAAGCGGGGTGATGTGGGTGTGTTTGGAGGACTTGGTCAGAAGCCGAGCACAGGCATTCTGAACCACCTGTAGACGGTTCAGGGAGGTTCTGCTCAGACACGTGAAAAGAGAGTTACAGTAGTCTAAGCGTGAGGAGATGAAGGTGTGGATAACAGTCTCAGGTTCAGAGCGAGACAGAATGGGACTCAGCTTAGCAATGTTCCTGAGATGGAAGAAGGAAGAGCGAACAAGAGAACTGACATGAGAATCCAGGATGAGAGCTGGGTCAAAGGTCACACCAAGATTCCTGACAGAAGGTTTGGTGTGGGAAGCAAGCTGACCAAGAGAGTCTGACTTTGGGAACCAGCTTGTCTGGGGCACAGATGAGGATCTCAGTCTTATCTTCATTCAACTGTAAAAAGCTCCCAGCCATCCAGGTTTTAGGAGAGTGTAAGCAGGTGTGTAACAGCTGCAGCTTAGACATCTCATGGGACTTAAAGAAGATGTACAGTTGGATGTCATCTGCATAAAGATGGTAGGAGATTCCTTTGAAGAAGCTCAGGGTGTGCTGAAGAGGAATAAGATAGAAGAAGAAGAGTAGAGGCCCCACCACAGAACCTTGTGGGACACCACAGGTAAGGGAGGTGGTGGAGGACCGAAACTTGGAGACGGCCACAGAAAAGGAGTGCTCAGAGAGATAAGAGGAGAACCACTCCAGAGCAGATCCTTATGGGCCTACCCAGTCTCTCAGCCTCTCCAGTAGCAGGTGATGGTCAACAGTATCAAAGGCTGCAGTCAAGTCCAGCAGGACCAGAACAGAACAGTCCCCTGCATAGGGCTGGGCGATATGGTCCAAAACGTATATCTCAATATCTTCTTGCTGAATTCTGATATGCAAGATGTATCTCGATATTTTTTCTCTTGTAAAATATTTACAAGTTAACTCACTTCAAGCTGTCTTGAGAAATTATTAACATAAATGAGTAGATTAAATGCATAAAAATGTATTCATTCTTGTCAAACTTTAACCTGGTACAGCTCTCTGTTAACACACACACACACAGTTGAGAGCTAGAGGTGTATCAAATGTCCCACAGGCACTTTTAAATTATATATTTATAATTAATGTAAAATTATTTGAATTTCATCTAGAGGTGGGCCATATTGTATATTTCTTGTCCATAGAAATACAAATCTATCATGTTAAGCTAAATTTATGATGATGTAATTAGATCTACTGAAGATATGATGGGTCATGCACCATGGAGTTATTAGGGCACACATGGCTCATATCAGTGATTATACTGTAATGACTCAGACTCTCTGGTTGCTCTTTTATTAGTATTATTTTCGAGCTACTGTCGCCGTCACCCATGCCCTACAAACTCTTAACTTTTTCAACAGAATCTCTCGTAACGGAGTATTTACTAGCATAGCTAACCAGAGTGGAAAAAAAACTGTACAGGAACATTTCTCACCTGTTGAGCTCACCTTCAAAATAAAACGTTAACCCTATAGTTTACTATTCTAACCCTTACAATATGTTTGAGGTAATTTGGTCACTCCGGCTATCCGTAGATGTTTCCTGATTACACAGAGGAGGGAGGGGTTTGACTCGTCTCTCCGCACAAGCAGGATGGATAAACACAACTCTGTTGGCGTTGAACGTCCCCAAATAATTAAAAACCAGAACGCCAAATGCAATGTTTAGAGCAGCACATTTATCCAGAGGCTCTCAGATTGTGCAAACTTGTGAGAATACACGTATTAACCGCTTAGAAGACGGAGCAACATGTCGCTAGCATAGCGGCTAATCTCTAGCAGTTTGATCAATTATATCGATATAAAGATACAAAGTCATATTGTATCTTGTTTAAAAATTATATAGATATTTTAAAAATACCGATATATCGCCCAGCCCTACCCCTGCATCACTGAGAGTCAGAAGGTCATTAGAGACCCTAATGATCCTAATGACCTTCTGACACTGAACGCTGATAATAATGGCTGTAACAGCTCCACGAAAATAAAAACGATTAGACAATAGCACTGGTCCATGGTACGGTTTGATTTGCTGAGCTCCAGCACCCCCTCTCCCAACCCCGCTAGCTGCTAACAACACCGTAACACTTTTATAACCAATAAAACCCTGGATGTGTACTCTCCAAGCAAATACTTTTCAGATTGTCACCTATACTGCTTTTCCTCCCAGCCGCGGACATTTTCTCCCTTTAGACAGAACTTATACCGGCATAAACATCTTATGATGTCTGGTTAGCTTTAACTTGTTCAACCAGCAGCTGGCTGTGGACTCTGATAGGGAATTTTCTTGTCAAGTCCCGCCTTTGCCATTTGCTGATTGCATTTTTGTTTCTGTCAATTTTTGTTGTTGTTTCTTGTTCGTTAACAAAAATGCCAGTCAATATTCTTCATAATTTAGTCTTATATGGCATGTTTGTTTTTGTTTCGTTTTAGTTCGTGAAAATTCATTTGTCACCAAAAACATATAGTTAGTCAACAAAATTAACACTGGTTTAGATGCACATGTTTTCTGTTATTTGCTTTGTAAAATGCAAAAAAGTTGAAATCATGTTACTGTATTTGTGTGTGATGTGGTTTTTCATGTGAACTCTTTCAGTTAGAAACTTTTATGACTTTTCTCCTCATATCATAAATGTTTTACCAGACAAGAGATTAATAATCCTACTCTACACTCTTCACACAGTGTTTACTCATACACAGAAATACTATTTGGGTTTACTGCCTTATGCATGACCACTGTCTACAACCATCTCACAACAACACAAGTTTTAGTTCAGCAGAGTTGTCCTTGGTGCATCTTCTCTGGTTGTCTTTGCCGCCCTGAATGGAAGCTTTGCTGTTTCGTTTCAGCAAATCAGTTGCTTTCATTGCCTTCAATAGCTGTGCCTCTTTCTGAACCAAGCTGCTTGTGATGAAGCTCAAGAGCACTTTGAGTGTGAATGTGACGAGCAGCAACACAGTATCAGCACAGAAGGTCGCAGTGAAAAGAGCTCACTGAATTCGATAGGCTGATGGGGATGAACAGGAGCATGTAGGTTTGGAGAAAGCAGCTGCTCAAATCCTGTTTTGGGATGTTTTTGTTTATCACTGTGGTGTTGTGGGGGATTGTTGTTAGGAAATTATGTAATGAAGCCAAGCAGAAATCCCAGTGGGCACAATTAATAACAAACACTAATCTGCCCACACATCCACTTATCACAAAGGTTATCACAACATCAGCACATGATGATTATGATGATGATGATGATGATGATGATGATGATGATGATGAAGATGCTAATGGTGATGATGAAAGTGATGATAAAGATGATGATGATGATGATGATGATTATGATGATGATGATGGTGATGATGATGACGATGACAACGATGACGACGACAATGAAGGTGATGGCGATGATGATGATGATGATGATGATGATGATGATGATGACATTGAAGGTGATGGTGATGATAATGATGATGGTGACGATGAGGGTGATGGTGGTGATGGTGATGATGACGATGACAACGATGACAACGACAATGAAGGTGATGATGATGATAATGTTGATGTTGATGGTGAGATGAGGGTGATGGTGATGGTGATGATGATAATGACAATGAAGATGGTGATGATGAAGGTGATGGTGATGATGATGATGATGACGATGATGTTGGTGATGATGAAGGTGATGGTGATGATGATGATGACGATGATGATGGTGATGATGAAGGTGATGGTGATGATGGTGATGACGATGATGATAATGATGATGGTGATGATGAAGGTGATGATGATGAAGATGAAGATTATTCAGTATTTCAGGGGAAAAAATGATTGCTACTGTTGATTGTGATTTTAATTCTTGGGTTGTCTCTACAGGCTATTTATTTATAAATAACTGAACTCACATACCCTGACTGTGTGTGTGCGTGTGTGTGCGTGCGTGCGTGCGTGCGTGCATGTGTGTGTGTGTGTGTGTGTGTGTGTGTGTGTGTGTGTGTGTGTGTGTGTGTGTGTGTGTTCTAAGATCTGTAACTGCGAGAGACAACCCGGAGTGCGTATGAGTTTGCCGACAAGGTGCTGCTCTCCCATGCTGTCAGATCTGCTCAGACCCTTCCAAACCAAGTGTGGTGATGTTCCATTAGGCTTTTCTTTTGACAGCAGCATGATGTGAAATAGACTCACAGCCCAGCTTCACTCTGTGGCTTCACGGTGTCTTCCTCACTTTTCAACACATTTTCCTAACATTGAGTCTGTGTTTTTCAATTTTGGAAAGATACCAGAACCCTGGTTAAGAAAAGACATGAAAATAAGGTCATTTTGGATTGATTAGGTTAGTGTATGATGAAAATAATCTATGTGTGAAATATCAACATGTTGTCATGATTGCTCCCAATTCAAAGTTAATGTGAGCTAGATTAGTTCTCTTAATACATATCATTACATTTGACCAAAGGTCCATAACTAGCAGGGCTGTGCCATTGGTAAGTAGCTGGAAATGCAATTTAATTGGAAAACAATGTATTATTTTTATAATTGTAATATGGTACATTGCCTTCATCAAAACTACAAAGACATGTATACATTTTTGCAATTTGCGTTAGTTTGGCTGCATAATTTAGTTTCAAGATGTTTGAATTTATTTTTAATCTCAGTTTCTTTTAGGTCTATGGCCAACAAAAAGTGTAAAAGGGTACCAAACCTCCAAATATCTTCTTACACTTTCTGGACCTGAAAAATAATTGAAAAGGTGAAGCACAAATAAATCAATGCACCAATCACCAAATAGTATCACCAGAATGAATAATTATTGTTTTTGTAAAGCTAAGGACGGTTTCTAACAAAAACAATTGTTTTGTAAAGCAGCAGGTTTTCTCTGAAAGCAGACGTTAACCCTGACCCTAGTTTCATCAACACACATGTTCCTGGTGTGGCTAACCCAGAAAGACTTTCTACAGGTTATTCTGGGGGCTACCTTGCTGTTGACTGACAGGAGATGTACACAAACAGCACATGAGAACGCTTTCTTGACAAAAATAAAATTCAGATTTAATGTTGGAAAACTGTTCAAAGCTGTTTTGTGCATTCCTAAAAAATTCCAGAAAATTTTTCCCTTTTTTTATTTTAGTCATGCAACAAAAATCACATCCAACAAAGGGTTCCAGACTTCTGCTCTGACTCTTTTTTTTTTCAACCATGAGAGCACACAATGGAATGTATGCTGAACAAAAATATAAATGCAATACTTTTGTTTTTGCTCCTATTTTTCATGAGCTGAACTCAAACATCTGAAAATGTGTCTACATACACAAAAGACCTACAACTCTCAAATATTGCTCTGAAATCTGTCTGCATGTGTGTTAGTGAGCACTTTTCCTTTACCAAGATAGGTGAGGCATATCAAGGGGCTGATTAGACAGCATGAATAATGTACAGGTGCGACTTAGACTGCCCACAATAAAAGGACACCCTGACATGTGCATAGTTTTGCTTAATGGATGGGGTGGGGCAGAAAACCAGCCAGTATCTGTTGTGGCCACCATTTGCCTCATGCAGGGCAACACATCTCCGTCACATAGAGTTGATCAGGTTGTTGATCAGAGAGCCTGTGGAGTGTTGGTCCATTCTTCTTCATTTGCTGTGTGAAGTTGCTGAATATTGGCAGGAACTGGACCACACTGTCGTAAGCACCGATCCAGAGCCGCCCAAACATGCCCAATGGGTGACAAGTCTGGTGAGTGTGCTGGCCATGCAAAAACTGGGATTTTTCAGCTTCCAGGAAGTGTGTACAGATTCTTGCAATAATGGGCCATGCATTATCATGCTGCAACATTAGGTGATGGTCGTAGATAAATGGCACAACTATGGGCCTCAGGATCTTGTCTTGGTACCTCTGTGCATTCAAAATGCCATCAATAAAATGCACTTGTGTTTGTTGTCTATAACATACCAGTACCCCACCGCCACCATGGGCCACTCGTTCCACAACGTTGACATCAGATAAACGCTCCCCCACTCGACGCCACACACGCAGTCTGCCATCTGCCCTAAACAGTGAAAACCGGGACTCATTTGTGAACAAAACGCCTCTCCTACATGCCAAACGTCATCGAATGTGAGTGATTGTCCACTCAAGTCGGTTACGACGACAGACTGCAATCAGGTCCAGACCCCAATGAGGACAACGAGCATGCAGATGAGCTTACCTGAGATGGTTTCTGACAGTTTGTGCAGAATAGGGCTGCAACAACGAATCGATAAATTTGATGAAAATCGATAACTAAAAGCGTTGGCAATGAATTGCATCATCGATTCGTTGTGTCGCACAACTCTTCCAAAAGCGCCCCCCCTTCCCGCCCGCCGTTGCGCGCAGACAGATCAGCGCGAGGGAGAGCCGGCAGTTGTTTGGAAGAGGAACATGGCAGAAGCAGCGAGAGTCAAAAAAGTAAAAGCTTTTTAAGTTTGAGAGCATTTTCAGTTAAATCAGACGAAGACATGCGTTACCTGCAACGTTTAGGGATTATCAGCGAGGAAGGAGAGAACTCTGTGTCCGGGTAAATTAAAAACTTGTCAAAAGTGATTCATCCAAGTCCCGGATTATTACACAGGCTAGACATGCCCTAAACTCGTAAAAAAGAGTCTAAAGTCGTGAGCGCGACGCTTATTAGATGAGCGGGGGGACTCGCGCTGCTGCGAACCGGTTCCGCCCAAGGCCGGATTAACTGGGCAATTGCTCAGGGCCCACGAACTCTAAAGGGCCCAGGGCACGAGCAAAATACTGTATCTATAATTTCCCGCTTTATGAGGACTATGGTGACCGTACGTTCCGTTTTCCCCGGACGTGTCCACTTTTCACTCTGTCCGGCGCGTCCCGACTGCGGGTTCTTGTATTGATGAAAATGTCCGGCTTTTGATCCAGGAGCAGGGATCGAATTATGGGGGAGCTGTATATCCTACACATCCGGGGAGCTGGAAAAAAGTTTTCTATATTATATCATTTTTGGACTCTTTTGAGCAGAGAGCGGCACAGCGCATTGTTGCGCAGCGATCCAGGCAGCTGCTTCCAGCGCACGGTCCATTCTCAAAGTGGCGCAACCAAAAAACTATAATTAACACACGATCGTTCATGTCTGCACATGTTCTCTATTTTCTGTCTTATTTGTGCCTGCAGCGCTCTGCTACTGCGGAGCTCATCACCTGTGCTGCGGTGATTTCACCTCACTGACGCAGCATCGAAAACGCGCTCTGCGCTTTGCGGTCAGGAGATCCCTTTATCTGCTCAGAAGTAACTGATGAGGTGAAAAAGTAAGAATCCATGCAGCAGGTTTTCTGGAGAATTAAGAGGAGATGCAGGAAGATGAGAGACAGACAGGGCAGGAAAATAGTTCAATAAAAACAACAAAACAAAACAAAGTGTTGAAAAGTAAAATGTAGGTAGATTTATCTCCACTGCACGTTTTTACCTATAAAACAATAAGTTACACACATGTAATATTTATAAATTTGATACTATTCAGGTCACCTTCAACACTCAGTCACACACCCAGGGCCGTTTCAAGACCTTTTGGGGGCCAAGGCAAAATGCCCCCCCCCCCCCCCCCCCCCCCCATAACTGGGCTCCCCAGAAGCCTCTGTGTAATTCATACCCTCTCCAGTAGTGTTAGTTATACAGTGTTTATAAAAGCCCCTCAGGCATTACTGACATGTTCTAATATTATCAGATGAAAAACTAAATTATCAGACATGCTGTCTCATCTGCTTCTTTTCTAAACTTGCAGAAAGTAACAAAACCATTTGAAAGCCACTATTTGTGGATTCTCTGAAAGTTTCCATGGAGTGTGTGACAACTTATTTTTTCAGTCATTTTTGGAAATAGTTATCAATTTTGATTAATTCACAGCTTATGTTTAATTACATTTAAAAATTAGTTGTTTGACATCCCCAGTTATGATAAATGTCTACAGATGAGATCAAACAAAACAGATGAGAATTGCCCTTAAGCTGTTTAATTGGACCAAGCATTTTAGGTCACAGATAGATGTAGCTTAGGGTCTCTGTCTATACACCTTATAAGACAATTTAGGTGTAGGCATGTTGTTTTTCTGCTATTGAACTGTTTTCTAATAATGTTGTGTTAAATAAAGTGAAGGAAGGAGAGAAATAACGTTTCTCTAGCAGTTTTTAAAAATTTCCCCATGTAATCCGATTAATCGATTAATCGTGTCGAGACCCCATCCGATTCATCGATTATCCAAATAATCGTTTGTTGCAGCCCTAGTGCAGAAATTCGCTGGTTATGCAAACCTATTGTTGCTGCAGCTGTCTGGGTGGCTGGTCTTTGGTGATCCTAGAGGTGAACATGATGGATGTGAAGGTCCTGGGCTGGTGTGGTCACACGTGGTCTGCTGTTGTGAGGCTGGTTGGATGGGCTGCCAAATTCTCTGAAACACCTTTGGAGATGACTACTGGTAGAGAAATGAACATTCATTTCACAGGCAACAGCTCTGGTAGGCATTTCTGCAGTCAGCATGCCAATTGCTCGCTCCCTCAAAGGTTGCGACATCTGTGGCATTGTGCTGTTTGATCAAACTGCACATTTCAGGGTGTCCTTTTATTGTGGGCAGTCTAAGGCACACCTGTACATTATTCAAGCTATTGTAATGGATGATAAAGAGAATTACATTTTAATTAATGGCCAGAGATATTAATGATCCATATCTAGTATGGACCCCATCTCTGGACACTGGGCTTTTTAAATCAGAAGAGTGGTTCTTTTTATTACAGGGAAATTTAATACACTTTGCATGAACTGAGAGATAAGAGAAGAGAGAGAGAGAGACCTCAGAACGTTTAAGCAAAATTTGTTATCTAAATGATTTTAAACAGTTTAACAGGACTAACTCTCTAGTGATGGTTGCTGATGGAATGAATGTGAGGTGGAGTGTGTGCTGGCGCGATGTCAGTTCAGAACCTCCGTTCTGGAGAAGCGAGTCTGAGTGGGAGATGATGTTTTGCTCCTAACTGATCAACGTTTGAACCTTGGTCAGAAAACAATATGAGACACTATCTGTGCCATTCTACATTACCCGTCAGTGAGACCTCCGTCTCAGATCAGGCTGCCAGGTTCGCGACCTTCCTATGGTACTGGAGTCGATGAAACAGCGTCCTCAGCACGACAAACCAGTCTTTGGATAGTCTCCAGGTAAAAGCGGCAGGTGTTTCACTGCGTCAAAGGGACCCCCCTTTGGGTCAGCGAGTTCAGCTTTTATTCTGAAGGAACCGTTGTTTTGTTGATAACAAAAATAAAAAGTACAGATGGCCGGTCCGTACTCCACTTAGCAATGATGAACATCAGAGGATCTTGAGAGCTGGCTGAATACTGAACTCAAAATGACGTTGTTCTGACTTATTAATCTTGATGTTTATGATTCTGGACGAATCACAGCTGACAGATTAAATAAACACCACAGAGACTCTGCCACGGTTCAGAGTGAAGGTTCTGATTGGATTTGCGACCGGAATGTGTCATGATTATTCATCTTGTGTATCATGTGGCTACAATATGTCATTTCCTTATTAAACATTAATCATAACATTGTGATTTCACAGATCGGTCACATGGTTAATATTGACTAACAGTTGTTTTGATTAGCTTTAGTAAAATAGAGTTCTTTGATTAAATGAAAGAAAAGAGTTCATTCTTCGTTCTTCTGTCTTCACTGATGGAATGTAAACATTAGAAGTGAATGCATGACCTTGAGGCTGTTTCATGCACACTGACACTGTGTCAAACAGAACAGCTGTTCGAGGGTAGAAATGGTTCCTTCATCACGTTACACTGTCTAATCAGCCTCTTGATATGCCACACCCACATGTAGACAGATTTCAGAGCAATATTTGAGAGTCATGGGTCTTTTGTGCATGTAGACAAAGTTTCAGATGTTTGAGTTCAGTTCATGAAAAGTGGGAAAAAAGCAAAAGTGTTGCATTTGTATTTTGTTCAGTGTAGAACCTTCACAGATGACTGAAAACATTTTGGAAACTCCTTCATGATTTCAGGTTGTTGATATTTACAGCTCAGTGAAATGTTTGCAGTTTTTTTTTTTGTAAAAGCTTATACTGAATAACATCCTAAGACCCTGACAACAAACTAAAGATAAAATAGTCACTTATTCCAACAGTTAGCACTGCGGGCTTCAGCTTCCTGTTAGCAGCATTCAGGGCCAGGAAAAACATAAATCAATGGTCAGCTGCTTCAAATTAGGCCAGTAGTACAACAAATGAGGAAAGCTGATTGTCTAAAGCAACTTCATTGACCGGAGAGCCTCTGGTTCAACACTCAGATCTATGCAAAACAAAGA